GAGCCAAGTTTCTTGTTCCTGTCTCTGCATTTCTGTCTCCCCATTCCTGCCTACCTCTCAGGGAATGGCCAGTTCCGAGAGGGTTTGGCAGTCACTGTGATAAAATATTGCTTATCCAGCTGAAGGGCCAGCTCACCTGGACAAAAACACCTGCTGTTCTCGCCTGGGACTATCGGCTCAAGGCCTTCCAAAGCTTGGCAACGTGTCTGCTACATCATCTGATACAACTTAGTTACTTCTTCAGTTCATCTGTTGATATGGGCAAAACAGAAAGAAAGTAACATCATCTCATATCTCCCCTACTGGTAATGAGATGAGGGGGAATTCTCTCACCCCTGAGCTAAAAATTCTCTTAACCCTCAGCTAATCATCACCTCACATGCAGTCTCGTGTAAGGGAACAAAGAGCCAACAGACAAAACCTAACCATCCCTTCATCTGCTGATGAGGGAGAAACAGATAACAGAACCCTAACCATCACCTCATGAGGGAACAATCCTAACCTCAATGGGGGAGAGAACAACATCACCCCAATGAGGGAGAAAACAGACAGAAACAATGGAGTTACATTAGACAATGAAGGAGAATTTCCCCAACATCTTTCCCACAAATGCAAATTCATAAATAAGAGAACCCTTTACAGTATAGGCAAACTTAGCTCCAGAAAATATGTACCTATATAACTAATATGGACTCTAAAAGAGAACATCAAGTACTATGAGGGCAGTACAAGCATGTTTCATCTCCTCCCAGCAAGAAAAGCTGTAGGTTCTGTCTGCTCACCAGCTGTTTACCAGTCTGTCTCTGGGTTGTGTTATACACTCTGACAATGATATACTGATTTTCTTAGCTCTTATCTCCCTTTCTCCTGTAATGTAATTTTTGCCTTTGTTTGTAGAATGTCAAGTGCTTTCATCTGCTCTCACTGATATCAATGAATGGTATATTTCTGTGTTCCCAATGTCATTTTTGGTGCTTTGTACATAGAAGTTAATTGAGAAAGGCTAGTTGCCTCACATTTAAAAAATTACTGAGGAAATAATTAAGAGAGAAAAGGAAAATAGGGAAGGATAAATAAGATGGAGCCATGGATAAGATGGGAATACAAATTGCCTATGGTAAGCTAATGTGTGCTGGCAAAAGATAACCCACAATTTGGCTCTGAAAAGTGTCAGCAGCCAATGCAAGAAAAAATATCAGTTACATGATTGGCAGTATATCTCAGGGAAAAGCAAATTATTAATAGTGGAAATCCAGCTATTCTTGGTACCAAGAGAGAAGAGAAATTTCCCTTGAGTGCACAGAAAAGGACACTGTGACAATATCTTAACAAGATCTCCCAAGTAAACAAGCCTAATGGATTTTAATGTCCCTTTAATGTTAGTTGATGTCAGGTATCAAAGCACAATTCAAAAGAGCTGATTCTGTGAAGGAATAAAAGAGTGTAGTTTAAGTGTTGAGCTTTCTGAAGTTCTGGTTTAATATAGGACAAAATTCAAAGTGCCTAGAGCAGCACTTTCCAGACCTTTTGCTGTACGCTGCAGGCTGATAGTTATGTGAAAAGCCCATTCCCAGAACTACCTGGATCATCACCCATTTCTCTCCTCTTAAGACAGTACATCTTTTTGTGGCACATTGCAAAATGCCCACAAAGGTAAAACAGAAAAGAGAAAATACCAGGAATATGCTTTGCAGTTCCTCCTGTCAAAAAGTTGAGTATTTCCCCACTTTTTGAATTTGGGCTCACCTTGTTGCTTGCTTTGACTAACAGAATGGCAGAAGTGACACTGCGTGAGTTTTCAGCCTAGGTATTAAGAACCCTGGTAATTTCTGTTCTCTTGCTCTTGGAACCTGCCACCACTAAGTGAGCAAGTGAGTAAACCTGCAAATGAAGGGAGACATGTGACTCAGTTGCTTCCTATCTCTCCAGCTGACAATCAACCAATCCCCAGAAAAACTGCTTAGCTTACCAGTAGCTCCCCACAAACAAAAGAGGGAGCCCAGCAGAAGAACCACCCAGATAAGCCCAGACCAAACTGCCAATCCACAGGGTCATAAACTAAATAAATGGTTGGGATTTTTTTCAGATCACAAAGTTTGGAGTGGCTTGTTATACAGCAAAAGCTAACAGATATACTTTTTTTTTTT